CTCAGGAATCATGCCAGCCTTCTTGAAAGGGGTACCACCAGAGACCCATTTGGCTTTCATTCTGTGCATTCCAGAAATCCTTAAAAAAAATGGTAGGTTTACAGGAGTCCCTGTTGAATATGTTTATCAGTTTTGTCAGCTGATCCTGACATTTTCCTCTTTATTTCCTTTTCTTTTTAATTTATTTCCTATACTTTCTACCTGTTTGGTTTTATTGCCACCTAGACACACTGGAGTTGGGGTGGTCCTAAATTGAGTAAATAAATAATCTCGTTTTTTAAAAATCAACACAATGGAGTGTTGGAAAGAAACTATGTAAAATAATGCAGGACTCTGTTTATCTGTTTCATTATCAAGGTAATTGTTTGCAAACTGAACCACATTTTCCAACACTGGAAAGCTAGTAAAATAAATAATTTTTATTTTTACAGATGGTCAGTAGTTCACACCATAGTCAACTTCTTCACTGTAAGCCTCTTTACTTCCCCATTATGTTGTCCAAAGCAGAAGTGCCTTTAAAGGGTTGCAAAGAATTCCAGGCTACATGGTTTTGTTAGCTTTTACTCCTTCCAACAGAAAGAAAGGAAGGAAGGAAGGAAGGAAGGAAGGAAGGAAAATCCTCAATACATAATGACAAGGCAGTAGAGAAACAGCATGAAATATTACTGACACCCCTACTCTAAAACCTGTACTATGATGGAGCTTCCCTGCGCTATCCTATGCATACAATAGATAAAAAAAAAAGATGCACCAAGGGAGAGCAGAAATATACTGCAATTTGCTGAAATGAGGAATGGTAGTTTGCAAAATATTGGTCAGAATATCTGTATATATCTGGATCAGGCAAACATTTAGCATACTTCCCCTTTGCATTAAGAGGCAGTTAAAAAAAGGATCAGAAGAAATAAAGTGGACCTGCATTTACTGAAAGTTGAAGACCTAAAATCAGGCCTGTCAAACTGGCAGCCCAGATGTGTCATGCATAGGCCACGCCCATCTAGGCTCCACAAAGGCAAAAATGTCACAATATGTCATGATATTCACGTGACACGATCAAGTTTGACACCTGTGACATACCCAGATTTTAAGATGCTGTAACCTAACCATGTTCCTTTAAATCAGTTTAAAAGCAGGGTCGTCAAACTCCCGGCCTGTGAGCCAGATATGTCACTCGGTTTAGTGAAGGGGAAAAGAGTCACAATACATCACGTGATACCACCATGACAATGTAAGTTTGACACCCCTGATTTAAGGAATGAGACTCTGGGAAATCAGTTTTCTTAATTGGAAGCAACTGTCATGTGACTCACTTACACACAGAAAATACATATCTGCCCTTCTCAGAAAATCAACTATAAATACATGGAGCATATACATTAAGAACCTGCCCTGATCACAGCTCAGAAATACACACATATACAGGCAAAATAAACACATAACCTGGGCAGGAAAATCACTACACAGAAAAAAATATAGGAACTCTTATGATCACTGGTAATACAGGAATTGGAAACAATGCAAAAAACTATGCCTGTATATTCAATTCACACGTAAGAACTAAAGAATTGTTTGTTAAGAAGCTAGGAAAATAAATGTATCTCCTAATCCTTTATTTGTTGCCCACTTTGCATTCTTAGGTTCCTAAATTTTTACAGATGCATTCAGGCTACAACTATTTATTAATCAATCAAATGTATGTATCTTATGGAAAGTGACTCCAGGAGACATATAGAAATCCAATAGCCATTCCCATGGCACTACCGTTCTGAGTTATCCTGTGATAAGAAAAATGTTTTAAATATTTTAAAAGATTTTTATCACTGTTGGGCCAAGAAAGGATTCCAGGAAAAAATGAGCTTGGCACAAAGTATTATAGAATCAATTAAAGTAGAACTTTGGAAGCTTATGTAACTACATACAAAGCAGCTGAGAGAAATTAAGTAAAAGATCATTAATTAGTGGGACTAGCGGGAAAAATGTATGTTACCCTATGTATGCATCGCAAATTTAAATCCCACTTTATTCAACAAAATTGTTCTAAAAGTATTAAATTGCTGTCAAACAGAATCTTAACTACTAGATTCAAATTCTGCTTACTGTATTCAGAAATAAATCACTGGTTTTACAGTTGTATGGTTTTACATTTATAATTTCTGTTTCACAACTGCAATTTATAAGACATGCTTTATAGGCCTTTGCTTCTATGTCTGCATATAAAAATACTACAATGTCTAGCAAATCTACAAAGTACAGGAACAGGCCATACAACCTTAATTCACTCAGAGATAAATCACTCCAAAATTGGGTTTGTCAAATGCATTATGCCCGAACTATACAAATCACATAATGGGTTAACATGCTGCGTAAACCAGAGCATACGTTCCAGACAATATCAGCCTGAATTCTTGATTCTTTACTGCTTTTTTCCATCTTGCCTTCCCCTTCCTGCATAGAGTGGACTTTATATTTCTCCAAGCTAATAAATATCATTTCCCTAAATCTAAATAAAACCTCTGCTTATTAGGATACCATGAAGATAATCTATAACAGTTTAGTAATTAAAGCAGTCATCCTGAGTGTTTTCACACATTTATCTAAGAAACTGGTCTTCCTTGATCACTGGGCATAGTGGCAGGCATAGATTGAAAAGGACGGGAAATACATCAAATTAAGAGCAGAATAAAAATTTGAAACATCATTTAACCATAAATAACACTGAATGGTTGTAGCCTACTACTTTCTAAGCCCAGCCTACCTCTCAAGGTTACAGAGAAAATAAAATATGTAAAACTGATGCTACATACAGCTTCTTTGAAGAAAGTTGAATTTAGTTTATTGTCATTGCACCTCATACAACAAAATTAAATACTATCTTCAGTGCATATTATAACTATGAAAATAAACACACACATCCTTCACATTCCATATATTGAATTGAAAACCCCTAATACTACATTAACATTACACGGCAATACAATATTGCACGATATAAGAAAGATGGAAAATAACTGCAGTCTCATTAAATAAATAGTTCATTTTCCCCAATACATTCTTTATTAGAAAAGACCATTCTTTGCAATATTTCAGAAGGTTGTTCTTTACATTTATTTTGCTTTTGAATTTTACTTTGTAAAGCAAAATTATAACATTTTTCATCCTCAGGAATCTCAGATTTGCCCCTTTTTATCCCCAAGGAGACAAAATTAGAATATCGCGCAAAAGTTCATTTATTTCAGTAATGCAACTTAAAAGGTGAAACTAATATATGAGATAAGACTTATTACGTGCAAAGCAAGATAGTTCAAGCTGTGATTTGTCATAATTGAGATGATTATGGCTTACAGCTCATTAAAACCCCAAATCCACAATCTCAGAAAATTAGAATATTACATGCAATCTATAAAACAAGGATTGTACGTAGAACAATATCGGACTTCTGAAAAGTATAAGCATGCATATGTACTTAGTACTTGGTTTGGCCCCTTTTGCAGCAATTACTGCCTCAATGCGCCATGGCATGGAAGCTATCAGCCTGTGGCACTGCTAAGATCTTATGGAAGACCAGGATGCTCCAATAACGGCCTTCAGCTCTTCTGCATTGTTCGGTCTCATGTCTCTCATCTTTCTCTTGGCAATGCCCCATAGATTCTCTATGGGGTTCAGGTCAGGCGAGTTTGCTAGCCAATCAAGCACAGTAATCCCACGGTCATTGAACCAGGTTTTGGTGCTTTTGGAAGTGTGGGCAGGTGCCAAGTCCTGCTGGAAAATGAAGTCAGCATCCCCATAAAGCTCATCTGTGGAAGGAAGCATGAAGTGCTTCAAAATCTCCTGGTATACAGCTGCGTTGACCCTGGACTTAATGTAGCACAGTGGACCAACGCCAGCAGATGACATTGCTCCCCAAATCAACACAGACTGTGGAAACTTCACACTGGACTTCAAGCATCTTGCAGTGTGTGCCTCTCCATTCTTCCTCCAGACTCTGGGACCTTGGTTTCCAAATGAGATGCCAAAGTTGCTCTCATCAAAAAAGAGGACTTTGGACTACTGAGGAACAGACCGGTTTTGGGTTTTTTTTAGCCCAGGTAAGACACTTCTGACGTTTGTTGTTCAGGAGCGGCTTGACAAGAGGAATACGACATTTGAAGCCCATGTCCAGGATCTGTCTGTGTGGGGTGGCTCTTGATGCACTGACTCCAGCCTCAGTCCACTCCTTGTGAAAGTCCCCAACACTTTTGAATGGCCTTTTCCTGACAATCCTCTCCAGACTGCGGTCATCCCTGCTCCTTGTGCACCTTTTTCTTCCACACTTTTCCCTTCCACATAACTTTCTATTAATGTGCTTTGATACAGCACTTTGGGAACATCCAACTTCTTTTGCAATTATCTTTTGAGGCTTTCCTTTCTTATGGAGGGTGTCAATGATGGTTTTCTGCACAACTGTCAGGTCAGCAATCTTTCCCATGATTGTGCTTCCTATTGAACCAGACTGAGAGACCATTTAAAGGCTCAGGAACCCTTTGCAGGTGTTATGGCTTCATTAGCTGATTAGGGTGGGACACATTGAGCCTAGAATATTGAACTTTTTCACAATATTCTAATTTTCTGAGATTGTGGATTTGGGGTTTTAATGAGCTGTAAGCCATAATCATCACAATTATGACACATCACGGCTTGAACTATCTTGTTTTGCATGTAATGAGTCTATCTCATATATTAGGTTCACCTTTTAAGTTGCATTACTGAAATAAATGAACTTTTGCACGATATTCTAATTTTTCGAGTTTCACCTGTGCTATTAACAAAACCTTCATAAGCGTCATGTCACTGAGCTGCAGCACATGCTATTAGCTCAAGTGTCAACATTTCTTTTCATGGGGATGCTTCGTAGGAGTGGTTGCCTCCCTCCCCTAAATGACTTTTTTATGCTCTGACATCACGGGAGTCTCTTTCCCGCCGGAGATTTCCTTCGCCAGCGCGCACAGCCCATCTCCACTCACCATGGTCCAGCCACCTCCGCCTTCCCGACCGCCACCTCACCGCTGGAGCGCTCTCAAAGCAGGAGAAAAAAAACGCAACTAGCGACACACGCTATCCCCAAGCCGCTTCTTAGCAACCGAGGCCACGCCTTCTCTTGTTCTGCGGCTTAAACGTCCGGTTTAAAAAAAAAAACATCATCTATAGCCGCCTTGAATTCCTATTGGTTGGGAGGAGTATCATTCACTCTCGTGATCGTTCAGTCCTGTGTAGCGTGAAAGGGCCTGGAGTTGTCACGGGAAAAAGAGACCGGAAATCATGAAATTCCCGCGAGCCTGTGCAAGGATGAATTGTGGGTAAGGGCACGTCATTATTACTTTTCTATACAAGAACGTAGAGATAGGAATGTAGGAGTCACAGCGTTAATTAACTTTCAAGTGAAAAGTGGTGCTTTTTTTGAAGTTCCGCCACAGACGTTACCCGCTAATAGACTTCATTATAGATTATAAGGAGACCTGTGGCTAACGTACATTAATCCTGGAATATTTTCTAAAGCGGAGATGAAAAAAACAAGCCATTTGCCACTCCCCCCCCCCCCCCCCAAAAAAGCTCCACAAACAAATTGCTAAGCAGGGAGGAACGGGGTGAAACTATTTTCCAAAGCATCTGAAGGAATAATTGATGGAAACTGATCAAGGAGAGATTCAATTTAGAAATAAGGAGAAATTTTCTTGACAGTGAGAACAATCATCCAGTGGAACAGCTTGCCTTCAAAAGTTGTGGGAGCTTCATTAACTGGAAGCTTTGAAGAAGCAGCTGGACTTTCATCTGTCAGAAATGGTGTGAGGTCCCCTGCTTGGATGGTTGTTGGACTAGGTGACCTACAAGGTCCCTTCCAACTCTGTTATTTTGTTAATCTGTTAGTTCAGTTCCACCCTCCGTGTACAAATCAGCCAAACTTCATCAGTTCTTCATACAGCTTTTAGAAACTTGGTATCTTTTTTTTCCCTCATTGAACAAAGCCTTGCAGTAAAACTATGAATTCTTCATTGTGCAGGCATTTATTTATCAAATCTACATAGTCGCCCATCCATCAAAAGCAACTCTGAAGAGCGAGGATTGCATTGCTAGCACCAACCCTGTCCTATTGTTTCTTTTTATTTTTCTTATATGTATCCATTTCATGTATTCATAACTATGTTTATACCTGTTATCGTATAATTGCTTGACAAGATAAATAAACAAAATAAACATACTGTACAATGTTTCTCACCTTTTTACAATTTTAAAACGTGTGGAGTTCAGATTCCCAGAATTCCCCTGCCAGCACTTTAAACGAGGATTCTGGGAGTTGAAGTCCGCGCATCTTTAAAGTTACAGTACTAAGGGTGAGGAAACACTGCTCTACACACAGATAATGAAGGAGTCGTATGATTTTCTAGTCCGTAACATTGCCACTGACTTGATTGGTTAGTCTCCCGACTAAGGCTTGGAAAAAAAAGAAAGAAATTGAAGCCAGAAGTTGCGCGATTTGGGTGGGTAAATCTACTATTATAACCTCTATAGGCGGAAGGGAGTCGATCGGAAGTTACTCCTTCCCAAAAGGAGAAAGAAAGACTCAGCGATGAGAAGCAGCTGGGAGGAGTGGAGGAGGAGGAAACCCCACAGCTGGTTAGTTTTACCCTTTAGACGAATTTGCACAGCAATTCACTGTTCTGTAAAATGGACACTGTTTTACAGGACATGGTTTTACAGTGTTTCCTGTTTTGCAGAACGCTGTGCTGTAAAACGCCTCGCCTACTTGTCCAAATTACGATCGGCTTCTTTCCCGGTTGGCGTGTGGGTGGGGGAACGAAGCCGTCGGGGCGATTGCCGGATTGCGAATTATTCAGCTGTACGGGTAGACCTCAACTTACGATGGCAGTTGAGCTCCAAAGTTATGTTGCTAAGTGAGAAATGTGTTGAGTCAGTTTTGCCCCATTTGACGACTTTTCTTGCCACATTTGTTAAGCAAATCATTGCCAGTTGTTTAAGTTGGTAACTCGGTTGTCCCAAAGGTGCTTCCCCCCCCCCCCCAAAAAAAAAAAAGGCAACTGGACTTTCTGGTTTTTTTTCTTTGAAGACGTTTTGCTTCTCGACCGAGCAGCTTCTTCAGCCCTGAGCTTCAAAGAAAAACCAGAAACTCCAGTTGCCTCTTGAAAAAAAACCACCTCTGGGACTAACCGTGACCTGGAATGACTGAGAATCTGCATAGACATTTAGTAACTTGGTTGTTTAAGTGACTCTGGCTTCCCCATTGACTTTGCTTGTCAGAAGGTCGCTAAAGGTGGTCCCATAACTCCAGGACTTTGCAACTGTCATAAATATGAATCAACTGCCAAGCATCTGAACTCTGTTCACGGGACCGTGGGAATACTACAACGGTAAAAAAATGGTCATAAGTCGCTTTTTTTAAAGTGCTGTTGTAACTTTAAAAGGTCATTAAGTGAACTGTGGCAAATTGAGGACTACCTGTATTTCTGTAAATCATTGTTGGGGGGAATTGGGATGTGTTGACATCAGACCCAGACACAATGTAACCAGCCATGCTGAAATTGAAGGGCTCATATGAGAGAGCAGGCTTGGGGAGAAAGGTTTTCTGGGTAATTAATGAAAATCAAATGTCAGCCATGACCAGGTTTATTGATTTATTGGCATGGTTTGTGAGTGTTGTGTGCTGCCAAATGTTGCAGCAGTTTACAGCAAAAATTCTATAGGTTTGGTTTTTTTGTGATATAAGAATACGGAACAATTACTCCACCACAGAAATTGCAATAGAAAGGAGAAAATAACTACCCCCTCCCCACAAAAAAAAAAACCCTCTGGAAGAACTCCATTTCATCCAGCATCTTTGGAGGGGCAAGTCTCGCTTTTAGGGGAAGCATCCCTCAGCCTCAGTGCTATAGCATATTGTATAGTATATTGGAGAGTGAAAATATGGTTTTTCTTTAGCTCAGGGTTGAAGTGTGGGATTCTTGATACTACTGTCTGAGCTTGGTTGTTTGTTTGCAGATGTTTCAGGATCCAACATCACCAATGCATAGTGAATGTGAGTTTTGCTGTCTATGTGGTAGCTTTAGGCAACAGGTAAGGCAAGCTATGGGTAGACGTGGCTTATATCCATTTGTTCAGCAGTCATTCAGAGTTACTGAGGTGCTGAAAAAAATCGGTCTTACCTGAGACTCACCTTCTCAGATGGTGGAGACAGGATCCAGGCATGAGATATATTCAGCTCTTTTCAGCTATAGACTGAATAGAAAAACTGAAGACATGTCCCCTTTGGGCCACTGTCCCCAGTTCTTGATGAAGTCAAGGTCTTAATATAGTTGTTGTAAGAGTTCCATCATTAGGTATAAGTCATAGGTTGTATCATCCCACACACCCAAAATCATAGAGGCCAGAGAAAAGGGTGGAACTGAATCCTGTCTCCACCATCTGAGAAGGTGCGTCTCAGGTAAGACCAACGCCCCTTCTCCAGATTGCTGTCGGCAGGATCCAGGCATGGGACATACCAAAGCAAATGTCCTACAGGTTCTGGCCACTACTGAGATTGATCTGGAGAACAACTAGTCCTCCAAGTTCCAGCTGTCCTAATGTCCCTGTGATCATGTGATTATGATCCAGGTGGTCAGGGGCCTGGCTCACAATTACAACATCGCACAAGCTATGTTACATGATTGCCATCTGTGATTTTCTCTGGTACCTTCACACAAGCAAAGTTAATGGGGAAGCCAGTAGGGAAGGTTGCAAATTGTCCCAAGTAAGTCATTAGCAGCACCATCCCTGCCTGCTTGCACTCCATCACGCACACCTGTTTGCAGCATCCCCTGCCCTCCTCTGGGCTCCAACACCCCACCTGAGGCCTATGCCAAAATGACAACTCCTAGGCAGCTCCTGGGAGTTCCATACCTACAAGGAGCTATGAAAAAATTTAACTCTTTCTTACCCATTAGGAATTGTCTGAATTTGTGTAGCCCAAACCTAGTAACCTAATTTGGATTTATGCAAACTAGTTTACAATCCAAAATACTGAGGTTGACACATGCTGAACCAAAGTTTACATGTCATATGACAATTCAGTGTGTAGGGTAACCTCTTTCAATAAGTCAGAAAGATAGTTTTGCCTCTTGACTTGTGTGGTGTATGCTTTATTTTTATTTCTGTCATCTTGGTGCACATACTTGTTTCAAGATGGTGTGGAATTCGTAAAGTATTAATGATGGTTTAAAATATAGACCAGAGAATCTCGGTATTTTAAGGGTGAAGCCTTGTTTGAATGTTACAGCTGAGCAAAGAGATTTGCTGCCCAATGTGTCCACATCCAAGCCTCACTAGCGTCTCTCTGTTTTCAATTTGTAAAGTAAATAACTACTGTATTGATTTTCTATCTATTCATGAATCCCCAAAACTGCTATCTGCAGTAATCACTTCATTTTGCCTTATGCTTGAGATAGGTTTTAAACTGTATGAGTGGTTGATTATATTCTAAGGGTCAAGATATCTTGAACATATATCTTGGTTATTCAGGCACCCAGGTTCCATTGGAATGCTGCCTACACGAGAAAATAAGTGTTCTTAGTCAACTTCCTGTTTCAAAATCATAGGCATTTTTTTAGTATTTGCTGAAATGAAATAGTACCTCTTTTTGTCTTTCAGAATTTTATTGCATTAACTGTTTTTATTAGACTAAAGTCTGCAGCTTATTTTTTAAAAATAGCACCATGAAACTATTTTTACAATACTTTAAATAATAATTAACCATCCCAAATAGGATGCATATCCATCCAATCACTTCCAAATACAGGAGGTTTGGGGGCTTGAACATTTTCTACTACTTTTGTGAGAAACTGCATTATGAAGTTGAATTAGTATGTTGCAATATGTTCTGTACTAATGATTCTATATTCTGTTTAATGGAACTGAAAGCCATAATACTTTTGTTCTTTGTTTCTTTTAGGCTTTAACGTTTTTTTCTTGTATGCAATCCTGTCAATAAAATGGCAGCTCTAAATAATGCAGAAAATAGTAAGTATTCATCTTTCTTAGGAATTAAATATTGATTTTGGAAATATATTCTGCAGACATTTGTAAATCAAATATAACATGTATTTGAAATGCATGTTGCATTTCAAAAAACTCTAGATAAGAGCTTTTGTGGAAGAAAACTGAATATCAGTTATTTATCAAATGAGAAACTTACATGCTTTTTCATAGTACTAACATTTTACTTATGAATATTTAAATAAAATTTTGTTA